CAATGATCTGATGGCAGTTGGGACAACAGTTAGCAAGCAAACTGTTGGAAACACGCTGCGACGTCTTGGCTATCAGTTTAAGAAAGGTTTTTACTCACTTTGTTCTTTTGATTAAATCTCAGATGTGGTTATTCTTGGTTATTCAATTTACACTTTACTGTGTAAATTGAACAGAGCCTCTGTTTAACCTTGTTTACCAGATTTTGCCCTAAGAGAAGATCGCTTTTCAAGCAGCCTGGAGCATTCCATTTCCCCCTTCCTAGCCAGCTCCCATCACTGGGTCTATGATGAGAGCCCTAACAGGAAGATGCTGGATGACGATGATGATGATGATCACATAGTATGTGCATTCTTTTATTTTACCTAAAAGAGAATGTGGAAACTTTACTCTTTGTTGTTTTTTTTCCACAGAGAGACAATTCTGCTATATCATTCTCTGCTGGTAGTCAATATTTTTTTTGTTTTCCCTTTGTCTTCAGGTCTGTTTATCACAGATAAAAAGTGAAATCTCTGAATCTGAGGAAGAAAAAAAGGAAAATGTGAAAGGTTTGGATAAAGCGCCAAAAATGGAGGAACAGAAACACAGACCTTCAAGTTAACGCCCACAGCAGAAGCAGTGCATGAGGTCATGGTAACTAGAGAGTGCATTTCATTTTTAGGTCAGGTGTTTTACACATCAGCACACAAGAAACAATATCTGGTCTTTTCCAAGTTCTGAGATGATTTAGATCCATCCTTAGGAATACAGAAAAATAGACTGAGTTTTTATTCATTGAAAAATAAATCCCATTGTGGGCTTTAGCAGCACAAACTGCACTGGTTTATTCTGTATGTCTTTTTTTCCCATTGTTTTATTGTCATTTCACGGTCTCAAGTACAGAGCAACGAAATTCCCTTTCTGTATTTAACCCATCCCCTTGGGGAGCAGTAGGCTGCCATCGTTGGGCACCCGGGGAGCAGTGTGGGTTTAAGGGTCTTTGCTCAGGGACCCAGAGTGGTAGTCTGTGGAATTGGGGCTTGAACTCAGAACCTATGGGATCCAAGTGCAATGCCCTAACCACTAGGCAACCAATCCCCAAAGCAGGCGTTAGCATGAAGGGTCTTACCTGAGGACCCACACTGGCAGCTCATTCCCACTAGCTGGGATACAAACCCAGGTGTCCTGTTTGCAGGATTGGTGACTTACCACTTGATAGGGTTAATGATAATAAACCCTTATTGTCCTAGAAATCAGACCAACGCAAACAGTTACTTTTTTTGCAGAAAAGGAGAGTGACCAGACCGAGAGAATGAGATTCCCTGAAAAGTCTATAGTCAACTCTGCCTGGACCTCTCTTTCTGCTACCTTTATTATCAGATTTCAAAGGAGTAACAGGAGGGGTCAGAAGTTTGCACATATAAAAAGGGGGTGCAGGATTATTGCCGGTGGTTATCAATCACATGTGACAGCATAGCTCGATAAGACCAGGCCCTGAGAGAAACATTTGCTCCGGGCCAAATGCCTGTAACGTAGTAAAAATAAAATGATGAGATTTACTTTTTTTTAACACTACATGAGCTAGCCAGCCGTCCCTTTTCAATTTTCTCATCATTTGTGGATATTTTTTGGCAGCTTTACAAAAATACTTCAGGTTATTTTTATTGATGTTTACATATGCTTGATCATTTAGAGGTCTAACCACACTTTATGAAACAGGGTTTGGTCTGGACTACGAGCCATGGGAAATGTTTGATTTTTTTGTTATATATTTTTTCTGTTTCAGTAATTGTTTTGTATATTTATTGTTCTGTTAGGAATAATGTTTTATATTATGGCCCATTTTGACCTGAGCCTTAGCTATTGAACAGACTTTGACTTAAAAAAAAAATTTTAATAGGTTATGGAGTCATGGCTATCTTAAAGGTATAA